CCTATAAACTCCAAAGTTAACAGACTCCAATCTTCTTGGTACCCCTGGCTTCATATCCATATAAATCCCAAACTCATCAGACTCGGAGTTACCAGCTCCGAATTTTGATCCTCTTGGTTCCACTTGTTCCGTATCCCTATAAACTCCAAAGTTAACAGACTCCAATCTTCTTGGTACCCCTGGCTTCATATCCATATAAATCCCAAACTCATCAGACTCAGAGTTACCAGCTCCGAATTTCGATCCTCTTGGTTCTATTGGTTTTATATCCGAATGAATATCAGAATTATCAGATTCCGTTTTTCTTGGTTCCACTTGTCCTATATTCATAGAAATCCTGGAGTTACCAGATCCAAATTCCGATCTTTTTGGTTTCACTGGCTCAGCATCCGTACAAATTGCAGAGTTATCAGATTCAGAGTCCGACCTTCTTGACACTGCTGGCTTCATATCCATATGAATCCCAAAGTCATCAGACTCAGGTTCCGATTTTCTCGACTTTACTTGTTCCATATTCATATGAATCACAGAGTTATTAGTTCTATTTTCTTGTATCCCACGTCTTGCCAACAGTTCCATCTTAAACTATTTTTATCAACAAGAAGTTTAAATAATCATCCATCGGTGAATTCTTATCAACAAGATACTCTCTAAGTCTATCATGATAAAAGGACACTTCGAATAACTTGCGTAAACTCACTGTGATCGAAGTATTCTCTTCAACGTCATTTGTGATCTGATAAATATCACTGCTGAATATTGGCGTTATTATACATAGAATAATATGCAACAGCATGATTACCTTAAAATAAATTTTTTCCATAAGAATATATCCTTGTGAGCGAGAAATTTGATAAATTGCTTGCAAAGAAAGATTAGTTGATATATATGAGAATATCAGTGATCAAATTTTTATTTTTATCTCTATCCTACGGAAATATGCTAATGAATTTAATGTTGCTTAGCTTGATATGAAATAAAAGTTGTTTTTGAAAAAAGTAAGCTAATTTTAGAGAGTAGTAAATTAAAAGTATGAAAAAATACCCAGGGGGAAATGACAACTCAACTGTGGAGATTTATTGTTTAAATTGATGATTTTGATATCAGTTGTGTGATGTGGAAAAGAAATGGTTTTTGTAAGCTGCTTTTTTACGCGAAAGGAAATTAGAATTTTTTTTAACTGTGGAATTTGATTATCATAATCACTTTAATCTCTATTCAATTCATAAATATAATTCATTCATTGTTACCTCTGATCAGTGGGCTTTTCGCACTTTCCATTATTTTGGAAGAGAGCCAACCAAATTGAAACTATTCAATACTTATAATTTTATGATGGTATGTGAAATTGTAATGATTCATAGGGAAATACAACAAAGAAATCGATATGTCATGGCTAATAGGCAATTATAAAGGTAGAAAGTGAATAATTATTTGTATTTAACAATGGGAAAAGTAAGAATTTTAAAAATTAATGAAGAAAAAACAGGCTGTATTTTGTTTCAGTCAGTAAAGATCTTGAGAAAGAATCCAATTTTTCATTTTAATTTAAGGTTGACGCTTCAGGAAAACGGTGCTAAATATGGCTAATAAGTGGATAAATTATAAGAAAATAGAATACAAGAATTTTACATTCTTTGTCGGTTCCTCCACCCTATATTTAAATAAGCGATTTTGGGGGTTAAATTAGGCTAAATTACTGTCCCTTTTCTTTGCAATTTAGTTTGGGTCAAAATTTAAGCCGAACAGCTTGAATTGGACACTGAGAAAAAGAAAAAAATGAAAAATGAGAAATGAGAAGAAAGGAATGGATGGCTTTAATAATCAAAACATTTCTGGTCTTTGACCTTATTAGTAGGCTAGTCATCAAAATTTCATACATCCAATTTTGTCAGAAAACCCGAAATTTTGTGATATAAAATGACTGATATGAATAGAGAATTTACATAACTGACAGTTAGACTAAAGTTAGACTCTCCACAATCTTCAATCGATGCTAAATTGAATTCCTTATCACACGACATTCTCGAATGTCATTCACAGTTACTGCTACCATTACTCTCTCTTACTTTTCATGTATGACAACAAATGCAGCTAACGAGTAACCCTCTCTCTTCACATCACATTCTCTATCTCTCTGAGTCTGCATGATCTAATATTGATTTGTCCTATCCCGATGATCTTTTCTATCTCGTCATGCCTTCTATTGATTTATTATATATCCACTGTGCTAATACAGTTATCGAGTGGAATTCGATTCCACCGAGACATGTACTTCTTGCCCAGAACAGAGCGACTCGATTAAGTCCCTGCCAATCAATAATCAGGGATTGGAGTGTTCATTTTTGGATGCCGTTAATTGCCAATCGTCGAATA